CCCCGCGCCGCGGGGAGGGCCCCGGGGCGGCCCCCCGCCGCAAATGCCCCCGGGAAGGCGATCCCGACGTAAGGGAGCGCTCCTCGCCTCGAAACTTGGAGCGGTGGCTATAAAATGGCTCTCGGTGGATGGCTGAACTTGCGCTGGGCTAGGCTGCCTTCCCGTTCCCCGTCTCGGTGTGTTTTATTTTAAGTTGCACTTTGGTGATGTGTTGATGTCTTGCATGAAGCTGGAGTCGGGAATATGTTTGCAGGAAAAGTCTTCATCCTCATTTGAAAAGGAAAAGAAAGGATGCGAGTCCAAAAATGACCTTTAAGAGCAAATCTCTTATCTGACAGCTAATGAAGTGTTTTTTTTAAAAAAAAAAAAAAAACTTGCCTGCAAGAAAGTCAGAAATACGGCTCAACATGAACACCTTTGTGCATCAATTTGTAGTTTCAGAAATATGTAGATGTGGTTATCGGCTTCTTGCGTCGTGCTGGGAGTTTCAGCTCTGCTCCGGAGGAATTTCTGGTGCAACAGGCAAGAGGCTGCGCTTCCTCCACCGAGCGGTTACACTTTCGGGGAGATAAGAGCTGCAGAGAGGATTTCTTTCATGTTTGCTTTAATGAGATAATTTATCAGGAGCTAATAGTTGCCGAAGGCTTTTTCTCCTTTAAGGTGATGCCTGTAGAGGTGCGCTTCCCGCTGCCGCCAGCGTGTGTCACTGTGGGCACTCGTGTCACCCCGGCACACGCTGTCCCCGAGCATCCACCGCGGCTGCTGCTCCTAAAGAATCCCTAGGTTTTCTTTTTCTCCAATTGTCCTTCTTGTTTTGTAAGAACATTTATAATTCTCAAATGGCTTCCCAATTTAGTTGCAACAGAAGAAGACAGGACTTCAGATTTACACGCAAACCTGTTCTTTTGTTCAGAGGAATTGCGGAGGGGGGATAACAAGGACAAAACCGCTTTGGTCTGAGGCAGTGGTTGAAGTCAGTGTCCCTTGGGAAGTCTTTAGCACCTTGCAGGGTTCAATGCACTTTTTCTGCTACTGCATAATTGGACAGCTGACATCTGTAGGGTAAATAGAGGCCTCCCTGAGCAGAGAGATTTTCATTTTTTCAGCTTGCATTTAGGAACATAGAAATTTCCATGCTCATTCAGACCACTTCTTATTTTGCTATTAAAGCTAACATCTTGGGATCATTGCTGCAATGTATGCTTTTTAATGTATATACTTGCAGTATGTAAATCTGAAATGTATGAACCACTGACTTCAAATTTAATTTTTTCTTTTTTTGTTTTAACGTAAGTCAAAGCATTAGTCATTAGACCCAAGTTACTTGTCTGTAAAGACACAAATGACTTTAAATGGCCTATGAACTTACTCTCAAAGCAGTGTTCCTTTTTCTTTGTTTTCTTCTGAAACTGATTATTTTTGTGTTACCTCTGTATTTTGCCCTTAGACTGTTTTGGTAAACCGTGGCATAATCCCTCATTTATAAATCCCCTTCAGATGAGTTGTCGTTGTTGTGCTTCCTACTGGCCAGGAGTTCTTGCTGGTGCTATCAGCCTGAGGAAGGTTGAAGCTCAGATTCCTGTTAAATTCCTCTCTACAAAACTCTTCCTTAAAGACACAGAAGGGCTAAAAGGAAGTCTTTATTTTAGAAAGTGTCATAAGAATGGCAGTTTGAGCTCCTGGCAGGTAACAGACAATTAACCTTGTATGTATAGTTAAACCAGAATAGTCTCCTTTAGCTTTTGGGTGAAAAGTCAGTTTTGTCTGGGGAGAACTTGTTTAATTGGGTGCAGAGTCATTTTTCAATATGAGAAATTTAGTATCTTTTTTCTACTTTGATAAATTCTTCTTTCAATAATTGATTGTCCAAGGAACTTCTATTTCTAGACTGCAGAGCAGACAGAGAACACGCTTCCTCGGTGAAGGATCTCTGTCTCTGTTAGGGTCCAGACCTTAGAGCAGTCGTTACATGGTTGCTGATTTAGAAATAAATCTAGACATTTGAAATTTGCAGTCAAATTTAAATGCAAAGTAAAAGACTTGTGGAACAAGTGACTTGTGAAACAAGTCCTTTGCCTTGGTTTCAGTAGGTTTAGATATGATAGTCTTGAATCTTGAAGTTTTTTAGGTTCCTAATGCTTCTTGACTGTAGTGGATGGTAGGACCTGGATGGTACCATTGCAGTCTGGCCCTGTTTAGCTACAAGGATTTCTTTTGCTATAGAAATGTCATTTACAAAGTAATTGTAAAACATTCCAGTGTAGCTTGTGGGAGGATACAATTATGAGTACAGAATAGGGGGAAGTCTTCCAAAACGCTAGTGTCGCTGTATATGAACATCTGCCAACACTTCTAGCCAACAGATTATTATGTCAAAATATGCTGAGAATAAAATTATTCTTCTGGCCAGAGTAGAAGTAGGACAGAAGTCGGAAGATCTATGGCAAAACTTCTTTCTGCTGGTGACTCTTCCCTTAAGTGGCTGACTTTTCAATGCTTCAGTTTATTCTTTGCAAAATAGGGTTAACATTTAAAGTAACATCTAAGTCAGATAGGTACGTGGAAGTGTAATTATTGGGTTTGAGGAGGCCTTGAATTCCTTCTGGAGGCCTGACAATTATGGTCATCCTTATACTTCTTTCTTTGTGAATATACCACATAAATATAATTTGTTTTGTAGACAGAGAAGTGGAGATGAAAGTAAATGTAGCCATTTTCTTATGAGAATACAAAAATCCGAATGCTGCAAGAGCACTTGTTGCACATGTAACTTTGTCTGTCTCTTGAATTCTCATAAACAAAAACAACGGCTGGAGAGCATTAGGGATTTTGGAGGTATTGGGAATATGACTTAAGCCAGTCATTCCAGCTTGTAATAGAAAATTGTTCTGAAATATGTGAATATAAATAAGGGCTGAAATGGTAACTTTGTATCTTTCTGGCAGTCCTCTATGCAGCAACTTTTTTCTCAGCCCCCTTCCTGATTTCAGGCTCCATATTAAAATCTTTTTTTTTTTTTTTTTCTTTACAACTGCTCTTGCAAGTAAATACTATGAATCAAACTAGCCTTGTGCAAAGAATGTGTGCAGTAATAGACCCATCTTTCAACTACCTCCAGCAGCTGTGGAAAGTGGAAGGTTCCCTCTAAATCAAGCAGAGAGTCACAAAATAAACATGAAAGCAAGGTAATGTGTAAGGAAAATATACACCCACCGAAGGAGAGAGCGTGAAGGGAGGATACACTAGTACAGTCAGACACTTCCACCTACAGGAACTTTATATCTAAGGCAAATGTAAAAAGGGCATGACAACACGGGCATGGGGGAGGTTGGGTATCTTTGCTATGAGTTGGAAATGTTGCATTCAGATGAGTGTTTTTGCCAGTTTGGATATGTAAATTTTAATGTGGTTATAAGCAGGGCTTACGTAAGCTTGATGAGGAGGGACAGCGCTGGAGGCAGTATATGGTAGATTATGATGGGGAACAAGAAGTGCTATAAGACACCAAAGAGCTGATTTAATCTGTCAGTATGAAGCATGAAAGGACTTAACAGTACTGTTTTTTTTCCCCTTTTTTTCGTCTTCGATTTTTTTTTCCTTGAATTGGATCTTGCTGGTACAAACTACAGCAGAAGAATAAAGCTAAAACAGGACACTTCATATAAATGGCTTGTTAGATATTGCTGCATAGCTAGATGATTAGCCTACTATGTAAAAAAATGCTAGTAAGACAATATTGCTACTTATATATCCAGTATCCCTTAGAAGGATCACTGGTTTCT